GACATTTGCAAAATTTCTTGCACAAATAATTAAACTAAAGGCTCAATTTCCTGCTTACACTATTAAGAAAATTAGACTTGACAATGCTGGTGAATTTACATCTGAATCATTTATTAATTATTGCATGTTAATTGGAATTACTGTTGAACATCATGTTCCTCATGTGCATACACAAAATGGTTTAGCCGGGTCTTTAATCAAACATCTTCAATATATTGTTAGACCATTGGGGTCATGCAATTTTACATGCTGCAACACTCATCCGTCTAACGCCAAGTGTTAATCATAAACATATCCCTTATCAACTGGAAATTGGTAAGGAACCAAAATGTCTTATTTAAAGATGTTCGGCTGTGCAGTATATGTACCAATATCTCAACCACATAGAACAAAGATGAGACCTCAAAGGAGGTTGCGAATATACATGTGTATGAATCACCTTATATTATTAAATATCTTGAACCTTTAACATGTGATATTTTTGAGGCAAGATTTGTTGATTGTCATTTTGACGAAAATTTTTTTTCAACACTAGGGAAAGAAAATAAAATATTAGAAAATAATATAACATGGTATATACCTCATTTATTACATTTGGACCCATATAATAAATCATGGGAGGACATGTAAAGAAAATAATGCACTTACAAGATTTAATAAATCAATTGTCAGATTCTTTTACTGATTTGAAAAGGGTGACAAAGTCACACGTACTAGCTATAAATCTCTCATCTACGATTGAGATTTCAAATATAAATGATGTAGCAAGTATATCTAAGGCGCACTTGAAGCGTGGTCGACCTATGGGATCCAAAGACAAAAATCTCCGAAAAAGAAAAGGCGAATATGATTAAAAGTGATCTTGAAAAGACACTAGATAATAATAAATCCACAATTGAAAAACATGCGCTCGAAGAAGCACATGGTGATGATAATGAAATCATTGATAATAAAAATGAAAACAAGAATTATCTTGAAATTTCAATTAATTATGTTAATACGAGAACTTTGTGGAACCAAGAAGGTAAAAATATAGATGAAATATTTTCATTCTCCATTGCATGTGAAATTATGAATGAAAATGATGATATCAAATATGAATGAATGTCAAAATAGACATGATTGGAAAAATTGGAAGGACACAATAAATACTGAGTTAAATTCTCTTAAAAATCGAAAAGTATTTGACCTCATTATGCCTATACCGAAAGATATGAAACCGGTTGGGTATAAGTGTGTCTTTGTAAGAAAATGAAATGAGAAAAGTGAGATTGTTAAATACAAGGCTAGTCTTGTTGCACAAGGTTTTTTTTTTACCAAAAACCAGAAATTGATTATGAGGTAACTTATTCTCTTGTTATGGATGTCATTACTTTTTCGTTATTTAACTGGTTTATCAGTATTTAACAATCTTGATATATATCTTATGGGTGTCGTTACTGCTTATTTGTATGGATCACTTGATATTGATATATACATGAAAATTCCAGAAGGATTTGAAATGCCCGAGACATCAAAACCTAGAGAAATGTATGCAATTAAGTTGCAAAGATCATTGTATGGGTTAAAATAATCTGGGCGCATGTGGCATAATAGGCTAAGTGAATATTTACTTAAAGAAGACTTTGAAAATAATCATATTTGTCCTTGTGTTTTTATAAGAAAAACAACACCTAGTTTTGTAATAATTGTTGCCTACATTGATGATTAAAATATCATTGGATCTAATAGAGAAATTAAAGAAGCAAGAGATTACTTAAAGAAAGAATTTGAAATTAAAGAGTTGGGAAAAACCAAGTTCTGCCTTGGCTTACAAATTGAGTATACTAAAAATGGTAGATTGGTACATCAATCGATTTATACAAAAAGATATTGAAAATATTTAACATAGACAAAGCAAACCCTTTAAGTACTCAAATGATGGGTAGAACACTTAACATTAAAAATGATCCATTTAAATCTAAGAAAGGTAATAAAGAAGATCTTGGCTCTGAATTACCATACCTTAGTGCCATTAGAGCACTAGTGTACCTTGCTAACTATACAAGACCTGATATAGCTTTTGCAGTAAATTTACTAGCAAGATTTGTAAGTAAGAATTGCGCCTAAGAGGGGGGGGGGGTGAATTAGGTTCTTTTGAAATTTTCTGGTTTTAAGAGAGTTATGTTACTTTCTTTTGCAGAGTGATGTTATGAAAGTTTGTAAAGGCAGAAAGTAAAAGAGACACAGAGAATTATAGTGGTTCCCCTCACACTCTGAGGGTACTCCACTCCCTTTTCGACTCGAAAGAGATTTCACTATAGTTAGGATCAGTGTACAACTTTCTTTCTAACCTATAGGGAGATCAAAGGCTCTTAAACACCTTTAAGATCTAAACACTAAGTGCAATGAGAACAATCCTCTCTAATGCACACATTTGCTTTCAACAATCCTGAACAACAAGGGGAAATACATACAATTCTGATTTTTGTAATGATTTGTAACAATGTATACAGTTGTTTATCAATGCTGAGATTGATCTTATTTTTCAATGGGAAATTCCACAAGTTTCTAAGATTTATTGCTCAAGAATTTTCTTTTTAAAGGATATGAAATTTATGCAGAAAATTCTTTGTGAAAAAGTGATTTTTCTTAGAAGTGAAAAAATGAAATTATGATACAGATTTTGAAAGAAAATTGAAAGAGATGTTGTTTTTGAATTTTGAAAGAGTTAGGTATTTATATTACATAAACACCTCTTGAGAAAAACATGCAAATCTCCAGAAAAATTGATGAACAGTTGTCATGTTTCAAAGGAAACATTCCACAAAAATTTGATTCAAGAGATGCAATTTTTCAGACAGATTTTTAAAAAACGTTCAGTGAGCAATCGATTGCACAAAGAGACCAATCGATTGCGCCTTCACAAAATTACTTGAAAATTCAAATTTTCAAAAGAGCAATCGATGCACCTTTAGACCAATTGATTGCACTTCAAAACAGTAGAGAAAAATTTGAAAATTTTTAAGCATGCAATCAATTGCACCAAAGCAGCAATCGATTTCTTACTTCTGAGGAAAACATCCTTAAAGTTGTGTTTGTCCTGATGCTTGGTGGTTGACCATCTTTGCCTTCTTTAAGTGATTTGTCTTCATCAAAATATATGCTGATATCTGAGAATCTTGATTTCACAAGATTCAATTCATGTCCTACAAAAAGACATTGGAAATGAATAAAGCATATATTCTGATATCTTCGAGGTACATTTGACCTTGGTTTGTTTTATTCTAACAATACAAAACCAGTTTGCCTTGGTTATGCAAATGTAAGATATTTGTCAGATCCATATAATGCTAAATCACAGACTGAATATTCATTTACATATGATAATATTGCAATATCATGGAGATCACAAAAGCAAACACTTGTAGCAACTTATTCAAATAAAGTTAAAGTAATTGCCATTCATGAACCAAGCAAATAATGTAGATGGTTACGGTCATCAACTCAACATATTCAAGGAGCGTCTGGTTTACCAATTCATAATAATCCAAGAATCTTGTATGAAGATAATGTTGCATGTGTTATCCAGATGAAAGAAGGTTACATAGGAAGTGACAGAACCAAGCATATCCCTCCAAAGTACTTCTCATTCACACAAGAACTTGAAAGAAACAAAAATGTTAATATTCAATATATTCGTTCATGTGATAATATGACAGATCTCTTCACAAAGACACTTCCTACATCAATTTTCAAGAAGCATGTACAAAATATTGGAATGCATCAACTTCAAGATCTTTAAAGAAGAATTAAACGTGTTATGTTGACGAGGAACATCATATTGTACTCTTTTTCCCTTATTAAGGTTTTTATCCCAATGAGTTTTTCCTGGTAAGATTTTTAACGAGTCAATATATGTTCTCATAAGTTTCTGTTTGACAAGACTTCGATAGAGTACCGCAATAAATATTTCAAAAGGGGAGTGTTATAATATTATTATTGTTATAAGAGTATTATTAGTTAGAAATATCTATCTTAAATGACCAATTACTATAAATGCATAATTTGTCAAAGTTAAAATAGTAAGTCCAATTATTACATTAATGTATATTTCAAGTACTCCATCCATTCTACCATGAGTGACCCATTTAGAAAAAAAGGTGTCCCAAAATGAATGATCCATTTTAATTTTTAAGGTATGTTTTTCAATTTTATCCTCTAATTAATACGACTTTTATCATTCTCTATACATGATAAGAGTACTTTAGTTAAAATATTATTATCCTTCTTTTAATTATTTCTCTTTTTTAATCCATGTGAAATGGTCAACCGGATTACTAATTGTGGAAAAGAAAAAGTACTATAAATACTATCCCTTTGTTTTTTTTTTATTATAAGTTGTTTTTAATTTTTCATACATATTAAAAATGTAATAATTATAGTATTAAAAAGAGAAATTATGAATTTTTTTACAAAATTGTCTTTTATTAATGATATTGAAAATATAAATTTAGATAATTGAAAGGAGAATATTTAAAGGTATAAAAAAAATTATACTAATAATTCATTAATATTATAAAATAACTTATATTATATTACTTTTTTTTTAAAAACGACATAATACTTTTTATGATGTAAAAACATACCAAAATTTACTTAAAAAATATAATAGTCTCTTCGATTTTTTCATTTAAATATAATATTTACGACTAGATTAATAACTTTTATCAATTTAGTGACCATTTAAAAATTCTTTGCACTCAATTAATTTTTTTTAAAAACAAAAATAAACATCTGTGATGAAGTTTTGCCTTAAAAAAAAAAGAAAAGAAGAAGGAGAGATGTAAAAGAAGCCAGTTGAGTCGAGGGTTTCCCCGGATTCGATGTACTGTAGTGACTCACTGCTCAGGGAAAGAATATGCCGCAGATTTACTTGCAATGCCACAAAACTCACTTTAACTTTCTTTCGAAACTAAAACCCTAACTCACTGAGTGACTCAGTGGATCAATCATCATCAATGGATTTCGTCGAATTGGAGGCCGTAGAAGGTCTCCGTTGGTCATGGAATTCATGGCCAACATCCAAATCGGAACTCATAATCCCCCTAACAATCATGTGCACTCCATTAACCCAACAAGGCACCGACCTACCTCTCCTCCCTTACGATCCCCTCCTCTGTACCCGATGCGGCGCCGTTTTAAACCCTTACGCTCGTCTTGATTACCAATCACGTATCTGGCACTGCCCCTTTTGTTCTCAGAGAAACCCTTTCCCTCGTTCCATCGCCGACGCTAATCTCCCCGCTGAACTTTTTCCGACTTACACTACCGTCGAGTACTCTTCTACGTCGCCTTTTCACCCTCCCGCTTTTGTGTTTCTAATCGATGTTTCTTCTTCTGAAGATGATCTTCGGTCGCTTAAGAATGAGCTCTTGCTTCTTCTTCACCATTTGCCTGATAGTGCTCTTGTTGCTCTGATCACTTTCGATTCCATGGTTTATCTTCACGATCTTCGATTTTCTCATTGTTCGAGGCTCGTTCTCTTACGTGAGCGTCAATTTTCTTCTGATCAGGTACCATAAATTAATTACATTTTTATATGATTATTAGTATATTGTTTTTTTTGTCTTTCTAATTCCGTAATAATCATCATTGCTTAGGTTAGGTTTGCACTAACTAGACAGTTAGTTAGTGAATTAATTGCTAAATTAATGCAGAATATTTGCTAGGTTTACAATACAGTTGAGTGAACAGTAGTTTTGTTACTTAGTTGAGCAATTGGTTATTGATGCAAGATATTGCTAGGTTTACTTTATAGACATGTTTGGATTGCCTAAGCATTTTTACAACTGGTTGGGGTATATTATGAAAACAACTTATGACGCATGCTTAAACAATTTTTAGCTTATTTCCACAAGCTCTTCATTCTAGCCTATGAAAACAGTTTATATGAAAATAATTTGACTTCTTTTCATCTTTTTTAGAAACATTTGATATGTATGAGCACTTTTATGATAAGAGTTTATGCTATTGCCTATAAGTGCTTAATTAAACTGTTTATTCAATTAGGGCCTATATTTGAGTGCACTGCACTGCATTTTGCTGATTATTTGTTTTTTCTCTCAGATAAGGCAGTTCCTCGACATTAGTCGTCCTCACCAGCTGCATATTGGGCAAACACAACCTGTCCCAAAGCAGGGGTTTCTGGTTCCAATTTCAGAATGTGAGTTCAGCATCACTACTGCAATTGAAGATATTCATTCTACCTACAAATTCAGGTCCGGTAGCCGACCCCCGAGGTCCACTGGAGCTGCAATTTCTGCTGCCCTTGGACTTTTAGAGTGTTGTTCTGTAAATACCGGCTCCAGAATCATGGTCTTCACTTCTGGGCCTGCTACTCTTGGACCTGGACTAGTTGTGGACTCTGATTTCAGGCAAACTATGAGAACCCACAGTGATATTTTCAATGGTCAGGTGAAGCATTATTTTAAATCTTGCAGTTTCTACAGACAGATTGCCAAGAGGCTGTCTGATGCGTCTGTTGTTCTTGATCTGTTTGCTTGCTCCCTTGACCAAGTTGGGGCTGCAGAGCTTCGAGAACCCATTGAGCGCTCAGGTGGATTTATGATTCTTGCCGAATCCTTTGAATCTGATCAATTCAAGAAATGTTTAAGGCACTTGTTTAAACATGACGATGAGGGCTTTATGAAGATGAATTTTGATGCAACCATTGAAATAGTGACCACTAAAGATGTCAAAATCTCTGGAGCTCTTGGACCTTGCGTGTCTCTTAAGAAAAAGAACGCATCAGTGAGTGAGACTGAGATTGGACAAGGTGGTACCTACATATGGAAGTTGAACACACTCACTGACCGAACTTGCATTGCTTTTTTCTTCCAAGTGAGTGATGATCAGAAAATGCAGCCCAGCTCTGCATTTTTAGTTCAGTTTATAACACGGTACAGGCAGGGGAACATAGGACACCGAAAAAGAGTCACCACTGCTGCTAGAAGATGGGTTGCGAATCATTCCACAGATATAGCTGCCGGGTTTGATCAAGAAGCAGCAGCATCGGTTATGGCACGGCTTGCCATTCTCCGTGCGGAGACATGCCATGCTCGCGATGTCATTAGATGGCTTGATGACACACTTATTCGTTTTACCTCTAAGTTTGGGGACTATGTGCCAGAAGATCCTTCTACCTTCCGCTTATCTTCCAACTTTTCCCTTTATCCTCAGTTTATGTTCCACTTAAGAAGATCCCAGTTTATTGATGTCTCTAACACTACTCCCGATGAGACTGCATATTTCCGGCTTATGCTGAACCGTGAGGGAGTAGTCGGCTCCCTTATAATGATTCAACCTACACTTTTCCAATATTCGTTTGATGGGCCACCTGTTCCAGTACTTTTAGATATTCGTTCTATTTGCCCTGATTCTATCTTGCTCTTTGATTCTTTCTTCCTTGTGGTGATTCATTATGGGTCAAAGGTTGCTCAGTGGAAGAAGCTTGGTTATGATAAGGACCCAGACCATGAGAACTTTAGAAAGTTGTTGGAAGCCCCAGAACTGGATGCAGAGCAATTGGTGACTGACCGGGTTCCAGTACCAAAGATGATAAGATGTGACCAGCATAGTAGTCAGGCCAGGTTTCTTCTTGCCAAGTTGAATCCATCTGTTACTCAAAATTCAACATACACGGATGGTTCGGATATCATATTTACCGATGACTTGAGCTTGCAAGTATTTCTAGATCAATTGCAGATACTAGCAGTGCAAGGCTGATAAGGAAGAACTTCTTAACTAAGGACTGTCTTTATGATGGTCACATGAAAAAGATAAGAAATTTGTAAATAGTTATCAAAGAGGTTACATGTTTTCAGCGGATTGTTTTACTTTTTATTTTACTAGCAGTAAAATCGCTGTTTTCTAGAGTGTGATTAGATTATGATTTTGTCCATTAGAATAGTTTTGAAGATGTAGAATCCTGCATAAGGTTACTACTATTGAGCTGACTATAAACTGTATCATCCATCACTTTGTTGTTTATACTGTAAATATCACTTCATGTTGTCAAATGTCAAATGAAAGATGGAGCTATTTTCTGCTTCGTTGCTTTTATGTTTTGCTTTATGATCGTAAATTAAGTCTTTTCTTTTTGCTGGAGTTTGTAAGTGATTATGTTGGCTTGATAGGTTAAAAAAGTGGTCACTTTGGACAAGGTTATTTGTTGCCTTTTTTTTAGTTAGGCCCTATTTAGTGAAGTTTGACATGACATAGCTGATGGCCCCATCAAAACTTTTCTTTTTCTTTCTTTTTCAACAAAGCTTTCAACCAAATAATTTTCATTTCTGAAGGTTAAAATTAGTTTTGCCGACATATTTATTTTTAAATTAAAAGTTTAAATAAGTTGAGTCGAGATGAAAATATAGGGAACAATGTGAAGGAGTGGGCTCTCTTATAAATAATTCCAACCAAACCAAGCCATAAATATAATACTTCTCTTATAAATAATTCCAACCAAACCAAGCCATAAATATAATACTTATAAATAATTCCAACCAAACCAAGCCATAGATATAATACTTCCAAACTATACCGTATATATTATTATTCTTATTTAGTGATATAATAGTAAAGAGAAAATATAATTATATTTTTCTTAATAATATTAATTGTAAAAAAGTTGTTATACATGGTAAAGTTTGAATAATTTTTTGATTTTTTTTTTAATAACCTACATGATTAGTGCATAATACATAATTAGTGCACATTTAAACGGTGAGGTTTTTAAATGTAAGTCAATCAATTTTAATTTTCAAAATACAGATGTTACTAGATTTTTGATTGACAGAAGATCAAATTTTTTGCACTTGAAAGCGAGATTAGAAAAGAAATTAGAATGTGGTCCAATTGAAAAAATAATCTACAAGAATCCTGTATTTTTTTGGGGGCACGAGCTATGCAAAATTTTTCAATTAAAGATTCGAGACGATGATGATGTGCGTAACATGTTTCTCAGTCACGAGTATTCCGATTTCTCAGATATTGAGTTATATATTACACTACAACAACAATTGTCTCAACAACTTGATTCTTCTCAAGTTTTTTATGAATCAGATGACGGGCAAGCTGAGGTAGATGCCATTGATGAAAAAGAAGCAGCTGAAGTCGTTGTTGATGACATGTTAAACAACGAGGAAGAAGATGTTGCACCAGCCAGTCATGTGTATTGTCCATCTCAACACATGACAAGTCTCAACTTAGGTGACGATGAACCCTCATCAAATATTTTTTACAATCCATATTTGCCAACATAAGGCGTATTAAAAAAGAGAGACAACTTTCGTACAAAAGAAGATTGTGTCCGGACAATAAAACAATATCACATAGACTTATCAGCAGATTATAAAGTCGATCGCACAAATCGAACTCTGTATAAGATCTATTGCCATAACGAGGAGTGTCCATTTCAATTAACAACGTCTTTCCGAAAGAGAAGTGACTCATGGAAGATAGAGTCAACGGGTCTAGATCACACTTGTATAATCACGAATCCAATGCAGGATCATCACAAACTCAACTCTCAATTAATTTGCGAGAAAATTCTGTCGGTCATTAGCGACAATCCTTCATTGAAGGTGAGTACCATAATTTTGCATATTGTTCAAAGATACAGTTACACTCCTTCGTACTAGAAAGCATGGATTGCTAAAACTAAGGCGGTTGAATCAGTGTTCAGAAATTGGGAGGATTCTTACAAAGAACTTCCCAAATACTTTGTGGCACTTAAACAATATTCTCTGGGGACTGTTGCCATCTTGGAGACATTGTCGGCGTATACACCAGACAGGAGTTGCGTTAGTGAAAATGGCATATTCCACAGATTCTTCTGGGCGTTTGAACCATGTATCAAAGGCTTTGCTTACTGTAAACCTATTATCCAAATTGATGGGACATGGTTATACGGGAAATATAAGGGCACGCTACTCATGGTTGTGTCTCAGGATGAGAACAACAATATTTTTTCAATAGCCTTCGCTCTTGTTGAAGGGGAAAGACTGTTGGGGTTGGCGTTTTTTTTATTTAAAATTTACGGTTATACGTTGCTCCCTAACCCAACTTATGTTTGATCTCTGATAGATACCCATCAATTGAGAGTGCATACAGGAATTTAGATAACGGTTGGCAGGATCCTCCCACAGAGCATGTGTATTATATAAGACGCATTGCCCAAAATTTCATGCGGGAAATCAAAGACAAAACGCTCAGGAAGAAGGTTGTGAACGCAGGGTATGCACTAATGGAGCCCACATTCAAACACTATCGTCACGAGATCAGACTAACAAACACGTATGCATTAAGATGGATTGATAATATTCATAAAGAGAAATGGACAATGACATACGACAATGGGGTGCGATGGGACCACATGACAACTAACCTCGTTGAATTAATGAATTGTGTTTTCAAGGAAATCCGAAACCTACCAATAACTGCCTTGGTAAAGGCAACATAGTTTAGACTCGGGGCACTCTTTGACGACAGACGTACAAAGTGGGGTTCCATATTACAACCTGGGCAGTTGTACAGTAATAGTTCAATGAAATTCATGAAAGACGAAGCTGTCAAAGCCAACACACATGTGGTCACAATATTTGACCGTAGTAAAGGTTGGTTCAGTGTTGCATAGTCAATTGATCACAATGAAGGGAGGCATAGGGGATGTTACCGAGTTAAACTTGATAGGAGTTGGTGTGACTGTGGAAAGTTTTAGGCATTTCGCATACCTTGCTCCCATGTTATAGCAACATGTTCGAAGGCTCGCCAGGACCCAACCAACTTGCACTGCTCACCAAGTGATAAGTCTCTGCAACGTCTACGGCAGTATCTTGCAGGTGGTGGCAAAAGAGGACTATTGACCTCCATACGAAGGCGAAATCGTCTGGCATAATGATTTGATACGAATAAAGAAAAAAGGTCGCCCTAATAGTATGCGTATTCGAACGAAGATGGATACAACAAACAAAATAGTCAGATTATGTAGCTCGTGCTAGCAATCAGGACACAATCGTACAAAATGTCCCAATGTAGGATCAAACACAACATCATAGTTTCTAATGTAACTGTGTCTATTTAAATCAACAACAACTTTCATTCCTTTGATAACATACTTAGCGATTACAATTAAGGCTAACATAAATTAAACAAGCATCATCATAACAACAATTAAAAAACAATAACAACATAACCTAATATCAAAACAACAATCCGAAAATAACAACAACAAACCCACATAAAGGTAATCTTCAACTTGTCTAGAATATTACAACCATCAAGATAGTCTTCTTTGGTGTTAACATCATCATAAGGACACCAACATCATTTTCCACTTTTCTCCAATCACGAGTAACTTCGTTTCTCTCTGACTGCTCTACTAGCCTCTCAATTTTCTTGATCTTTTCACCTACAACAATATCTCCTTCTAGTCAGCGGTTCAGTTTCCTATGCAGATGCTCCAAAGTCTGTGTGTTACATAGTAGGACCTTCATCGGAGGCTTCGTTGCTGAAAATATAACTAAGGCATTTCTTTTCATTAGAGAAAATGTTGGAAACAGTTCCTCCGATGATGACGACGATGAACGTTGATTTAGAAATGCAGACATTTTAGACTGATTTCAAAATTTTGAAGGACTCAGTCGTTTGGTGGTAATTATTGTGAAAAGAAACACCACAATACAATCTTATTTATAGACTACTCAAATTGTACAGGTCAGTCACACACCCGCAAGTATAACATAAAATAATAATAATATATAAAAAACAAAAGAAAAACAAAACGATTTTCCTGAGGCGCCTTATAATATGACGCCTTCTCTAGCCCCAACACCCACAAGCCATATGATATGGCAACTCTCTTGTAGAGTTCAGGCCCACAAACCATATGAAATGGCGACTCCCTTATGGAGTCAGAGCACAATTTTGCCACACAAGCCATATGAAATGACGACACTACCCATTCATGGTTGTTCAGTCAAACAAAATGGCAACTGCATGTTGAAATGTAGCTATTTTAATAATTTTTTTGAGATTAATGTTTATATACTATTAAATTTGAAATACTATGTTATTAAAAAAGAATTCTAATTTTTCCAAGCAAAAATTTATAAACATTAAAAGTGAATCTTATAATTAATTAAAGTAAATAAATCATGGAAAGAGTAGGTTAAAATCTGTGTGTTGTGGTGGCATTTGCACAGGCCGTGTGTACAGTGGCCCACTCCATTTGCGGCTACAGCCGCAAGCAAACCCTTCTCCATTTCATTTCACAGTAAAATGCATGCTATTGCGTTCTTCGTCCTCTTTCTAAAATCTACTCCCCTTAAACTAACTACCACTATTTCATTATTCAAATCTTGAATCGAATTAAACAAACCCTAGAATTATGGCTAAGAAACGCGTTCCCGATTGGCTCAACAGTCCTATCTGGTCCTCCCCCTCCGAACACAACCGCTTTTCCGCCGCTTTTGACCCACCGGAACCTCCCTCTCCACCCCCTGTCACCGTCAAAGAAGATCCTTCTTTAATTCAACATCGCACAAATCACAATGGCATTGCCACTTCATCTCCCTCTTCTTCTTCATCCTCCGCTTCTACTTCCTCCGCCGATGATATGTCCATCTCTCGTCGGGCCCAGTGCCAGGCTCAATTGTTAGCCGAGGTAAGTTTCGTTTCACTCCATAATCCTTATTATGAATTCAAAAAGCTATAGTTGTTATTGTTCA